CTTTTAAGGGAACATTTGTGAAAACAAGGATGTGATTATGAAAAGCTTTTTTGTCTGTTATTGACAATGTAATAAGCCTCGTGCCGATTCACCACTCCGAGAGCGAGTTTAATAACTATGTTATCAACTGGTATATATTAACCATCACTTGCCGGCAGTCCTTTCAAAAAGCTTTAAAAACAAAACTAGGAAATAGGAATTACATCCGAGTGGGACAGAGGATATTTGATTGAAAAGTAACAATACGTATAATAGTATATAATACGAGGGCCAGCTTTGTGGGAGTTTATCATAACTCACTAAGGGCTTAGATATACGACGAAGTCTTTTCACTCGTAACAAACGTGAAAGTTGAAAACTCACGGATCAGTAAGGTGTGATGGAGAATCATAATCTAGAAGAAACCTTGGTGGCACTCAGGTAATTACATTTTTTGAGGTCCTCGTTTATTTAACTGCTCCCCTGTTAGAACGAAAAATGATTAGAGGCAATTATATTTATTTAATTCCCCTCATCGCAATCATGATGTTCGGCAACTTTAACAGGTTAATTTCTTACGGTATTGAGTTGACCGATAGAAATCTGTTTGCAGTAGTAACTCTCTACCTTAAAGGTAACCCCTTGAAACTGCTGTCACTTATTGCCACCGTGAAAATATTATTCTTGATGTAGCCATCTTCATTTTTAGCTCTTGAATAAGCAACAAGACGAGCATAAAGCTTAACTGCTACTTCTCTCATTAAAAGCACACCTTAAACCTTTTCCTTGATTAATATTTAATTATTGAGATAAAGTAAAATGTTTGTTATGTCAGAAACACACGCAACTTAAGATAAGACTCGCTTCTCGTTCCAAATTTTGCCAACAGCCTTGCGAAAGCTTAGTGAGCTGGAAAGGAAACTTTCGAGTTGATAGGAACGCAGAGTTACATTATAGCTCAAGCAGGGCTACATAGATGTCACAAAGCCCTTTTCTTTCCACTTTGTCCATTTTTGTTTTTGGTTGAGGCTAAGTTCGGAACCAGTAACACGCTTGGGTACACTTCAGTGTGTCTTAATAAAATGGAAGATGAAAAACACGCAATAATGACAAGGATGATATTTAATACATATGCACTGATCTTAAAACCCCAACAAAATGAAGGAATTTGGGAGGGAAATTTTTTGCTTCCCCTTTTACACATACATACATACATACATACATTCTTTATTTGATAAGTAGGTTGTGTGAAAGGCAGCCAAAGGGCTGATGTGGACCTACTATACTAAATATTAGGAATTACATATATATAAAAATTGCAATAATAACTTAGAACTACTATATACAAATAAAATGGTGTTCACTAAGACTAACATATAAATCTAAAAGTAAATTTAATTTCGCCGAATTAGCTGAGCAGCTGAGAGCGGACATGCCTTAATTTGGTCGTACTGTGTTTTCAATTTCGTTTCCAGTAACTTCCTCCATTTCAGAATACAAGGAGATCAAAGGAACGTTTTCATGTAGCAACTCGCCTTTCTTCCTTGACTTGGTAAACTGATCAGGACTTGTGACTGTACAGCCTCAGTCTAGGGCATGAAATTTAATCCTTTCATTCCCAAGGGTGACCAATACAGAATTTCTCTCTATAATATCAATACAATATCAAGAAGGCAAGATATGAGAATAGAGAAAAATAATTACAGAGAAAAAAATTACTAATTACTAATGAGATCTTTGGAGTAACAGAGCTAAACAGACCGACCGTTGGGCTAAAATTGTGATATTCGCTTAGAAAAAATACAAGTTGGGATCATGCAGTTGTTCACGATGGACATAGGTTCAGTGCCATTCCGTAAGGATTGAGCGTTAAATTTAGATTTAATTTTTTTATCTTGTTTAAAAGCGCATGTGGGGGCAAACATTTTGTGTGGTATTAGCTTAATGTTACGTAAAACTACAGGTTAGACCCATTCAAATATGACATTTAACCTAGACCGTTAATGGCCTTTTTAAAAACCCGGCAAAACACTATAAGTAAAAAAAATTATATGTTTCTTCAAGAGATTATGTTTTCATTATTTCCTCTTGATTGCTTTTGTTGGTCTTTTGATTTTGTTCGGTCCTCCCACTTAAAACCAAATAAATTATGCTCAGTATTATTGCCTTCAAAACCTGAGGAAATACGGTTTTCTTTGGCCTTAGAATGATTTAAATGGTCAAGGCTGAATTAATATTTTGTAGTGTTTAAAATTCCGCATAATTTATCACATTTTAATCCGATAAAATCAAGTCTTGGTCATGTCTTTATCGTGTGGTCATTTTTGTCTTGCATTTATAGGTATTTTTTTTTCATTTCCCTCACTCTCCCCATAACAGTATTTTGATTATCATGTCTCAGCATTTGCTAGAAGTGTTTTTGCATGTCGCTTTCAGTAATCAGTGGATTTCCTATTTAGGTTGTCGGTTTCGTGTTGAGGTTGAAGTAGAATCTTAAACAGTTTTAATGACCTTGAAATTGCGCACATATCTGAGAACTTTATATCAACGAAGATCGATTAATAAGCGTATAAAAGATACTATTGCATTTAAAGTACTTCTCTTAAGCTCAGAAGCAGTGCGTAAGAAATCCTGTCTCCATCTGCAAACGATAAAGCAAAACATGTGTACACGAACAATTAAAACTAAAAACACACACACAACTTAATTAAAGCTATACTAGTATTACTTAACAATTATAAATATTCTCGATGTAAAGAAACCTTTCTTGTTTAGCGTATTTGTTTACATTTAAGTAAAAGGGTAATTAATGTTTTGAGTATATTTCATTCATGTTTGTTTTCTAAGTTTTCCAACCAATAAAGAACGAATGCAAAACTGTCGTGGGAACAGATTATGAAATTTCGCACGTTCTCTTGTGTCTCATGAGCTCGAGTCGATAACATCCGTATTTTCCTTCAGTATTCCCTGGCGAGTGGACATTTACCACCGATTGCATTGTTTTCTTACTTCACACGAGTTTATTTACTTATTTCAACCTCCAGCTGGCGTTGTTTGGGCTCGCCAATTTTGAATTCATAAAAGCAGACAATATTTGATGAACTGCGAAGGTTTTTAGTTGTAGATGCAACTTGAACAAATAGCGTTGTGTTTATTTGCATTTTTCTTCGGTTTCTAGTCCCTAGTTTTCGGTTTTCATGTCTCCATAGACACGTGCTGTATATCACAAGTTTCAGACCCCGCATTTAAGTTTATTCTTCATTACGAGGTTTCGCTCTGCGGTGAGTGTTTTTGCTTCGGGCTAAGGTAGCGTTTCTGCTCCATAGCCTTTCATTTTAATGATTTAATTTCCTGTACTTGTTTTCGAATAATAACTTCTTTACAAACGCTTCCTTTGAGGATAACAATGCAAACTACTGAACCGCGCTTCTGCCACATGGAAGACCAACAACGTAGAAATGTTAACAAAAAAAAGAGATAGCGGAAACTTCATGGATCAGAAAAGTTCCATGTCTCCCTTAGTAATTATTTAAAATAAAGATAATTTGCTGAGCGAAACAATAACTCCAAAGCAGCAATTCTTTCCGCCTTCCCGTCAACCGCGCTTCCAGATTTCCGAAACTCTTAAAGTTGCCCTCTCCGAAACCACAATGGCGGTATTTATACAATTGATTCATAATATTTGAATTGTATAATACTTCATTGTTTAAGAGGCTATTGAGCTCTTGTGCGGTTTAAATCACAAGTACCGACACAGGCAACCTCATTAACGTCACACATCTAAAACCAACACCACTGTTAGAGCGAGCGCCACACAAGGAAAGAAATTTTTTAGATAGTATCTCCTCTGAGGTTTGCAGATTGTTCTTAATTGGCCTGGTTATTAGCATTGTTGTTAACTCGGTAAAACATTTACCGCCTTATCACAGGAGAAAGCGCGTTCGGCAAATGGCAGGCCCTGATGATTATTTCAGAGAACTTTTCGCTGATAAGATTTGGATACCTACTAATTACATTGGGAACGCACAACATAAACAGCGGCTCTTCGCTTTGGGAACGAATCTAAAATGGTAGTCATTTTGACATTTAAGACTTGAAGAGGCGTCTCTTTACCTCTAACTTGGACCCATGGCGATTTTTATTTTAAACATTGCTTCAATAAGCCCCATGCTTTGAATTTTTCTCTTACATGTGTTCCACAGAATAAAATTAACAAAACAAATTGGTTATAAGATATTTGAGAGATTGATAAAGCGTTTGCTGATTGAACTGTAATTACGATGCTGTGTTTTTTTTTGGTAATACAAGTTCTTTTTTTAAAAGCCAAGCAACAGCGAAGTTTATCTTTAAGTAGCAGCAGGTAAAATATAACACAAATAAGACCAAAACAAATCCATACGCCTCTCCGTTCATTCTGTTTCTAACTGTAAACAAGGCAAAATATTTGGGCACTCACATGCTCATAACTTTCCCTTTAGGGAAGATAAGGCGTTTCGAAAATTCACTTTTCATTAGGAGAATCCGTTCATATGTTAAAAGATGGGCGAGATTACTCGTTTCCTTGCGACAGACGATTATGGATTCGCCATTCGTCAATTTGCAAGTACGGAAATCTAAAAGTTTCTTTAGCGAGTCATTTTGTCGGCAAGATCACAGCAGTCTTGCTCAGTGCGTCAGTCAATGAACACGAACCAATGAGTGGTTCTCTTTCTCAAAATGTGTGCCTTTGTTCAACCGACCCCTCCTTAAGCTCTAGACTAAGAAGTTTTGCATTTGGTTTCTTGAGATGATTTTTTCGACAAACTCCCTTTCCCCCTCTAAAGTTTGGTTTCATGTTTCACCAGAACAATTACCCTGAAGTAGATTTTTCCCTTAAGTGAGCATTAGGTGCTAATCGCTATCACAACTCATCGCCACTTGAGGTTGTCAAATCATTCAATTAATTTGGATGACAATTATGCGTGCACACAGCAATCAAAACAACCTCGTCGACCGACGGTGACTTCTATTGTACCGCGGCACATCACTATAGTACAGACACCGAATTTAATCCACCCCCAATAGCGTTACCAAAGGTTTCGTAACACGGTCCGCGTTCAGAAGCGAACGGCGCAAAACAAGTCGCCGCCGTGCGTTAAACAAGCGCAGTGCTTTTCGGAATCCAGGATGCAAGGAAGTGATCGGTTTTCTATCAATTCTCTCATTGATAACAGGAGCAGAGGGAGCCTGAGTAGTGACGGAGAGGATGCACACGATATTTCTGGTCCAGAGGACGAATCTGCTCCAGAGACAAGACATGCAGTGACATCTTTTACAGTGAAAGATATTTTGGACCCGCACAAGTTTAATGCTCCGAGGCGAAGGCCAAGTGAGAGTGATTCAGACAGCGAAAGCCCTAGTAGAGGAGAATCAAGAAATAATTCATCATGGCATCCATGGATGGCGGCGACCAGATTTAAGCGTTCACAAACCTCAAGCGGTAAGAGATCGATTGTCATAAAGCGATCCACTCTTTTGAGCAATACTTCTCCCTATTTCGTTCTATTTATATGAATAAAATCATTGAGTTGCAGCTATAAAATATTTTTTATCTTAACTGCGGAGGTTTTGATTTATTTTTCTCGCCGTGCAACACGCCTAAAAGCGATTAAGAGGAAATGTTGGTCATTCAAATGATAGCCGGCATCGTTTCATTTATTCTCTCTTCTGACCACTGGGTTCACATTAACAACCATTTAGCTTAAAAGGTCTGCCACAGAAGCAATCAATTCGGTATAAAACGTTATGGTGAAGTATGCCTGGTTTCACTGTCGCTTTCTTTCACTTAATGTTTATAATTCTCCTCACCTAAATAAGCAGGCTACATTGATCTTGCTCGATTATTTCCTCTGGAACGATCAGTTAACCAATTCTATGCAATATGTTATCTAAATTGCAGACGATTACTCGTCGCTCATTAGAAATAAAACTTTAAATCCACAGAATCTGACAAATGTATGGAAAAGGACAAAAACGAACACGATTCATCTAATCATCAAGAGAACGAAGAATGCAAGTCGACATCGGGGTCCAAATCAAAGAGAAAGCGAAGCGGCTCCGACAGATCAAAGGAAGGAAAACCACGACGAGCACGAACTGCTTTCACGTACGAACAACTCGTTGCTCTAGAAAACAAGTTTAAGAGTACTAGATACCTGTCTGTTTGTGAAAGACTGAACTTGGCTCTCTCCCTAAGCCTAACGGAGACACAAGTGAAAATTTGGTTTCAAAACCGACGCACAAAATGGAAGAAGCAAAATCCTGGAGTTGATGTTACTGCTCCACCACGGCCTACGACTTTGCCCCACGCACCATCTTTGGCTGGCTACGGAACCGGAATTCTGTGTACATCACAGTGCCCTACGCAAATGCACCACTATCCACACTATCAACCGAGCACAGCTCATGCTCTTCCGTGCATTATCAGACCGCATCCGACCTATGGACACATGTAGAAAAAGCAAAGCCGACCGAATCAATAAGAACTACTGAACTGCATCAAAGATGTGACACACTTCTACCACTGAAACTTGAAAAAAAAAAAAAAAAAAAAAATCCACGAAATCTGCTTCAAAGGAAATCAGATTTTATCTTTGTTTGAAATCGGTATGATGTGTGACATGATCGTTCAACTATGCTCGTGGCACTCTTCCGCGAGGAGGGAAAGAAATTAACTTGGACTGTGGAATTATAAACTGCAAAGCCATTGTGCCGAGTACCAAACCAATTTCTTATCCATTTGCAGTCTGCTCCAAAGCTCTCTATAAATTAAAGTGGGTTTTTTTTTTTATCTAATCATAGTATTTATATATATGAATTCCAAGGATATTCGAAAATTTTGTTTTATTTCGAAGCAGTCGCATGCGTTCAAGTTTTCATGTTTAAGTCTGAATTTTTCTTGATTAAATCAATGCCGATTGTTCGAGGCGGAAACTAGGAACAGAGGGAGCTGTTAAAATATTATCGTAAGTCAAATTTCTGAACTGTAAATACTGTACAAAAGCGAATGTAAAATAATCGACCTCTTGAAGTATCATTTACAAACGAAATTGCAATGAATGTTTCCAAGCAAGTTGAGAAATTAAGTTACAAACAAAAAGAATGTTTAACTTAAAATGTACCATTTTCTTTAATTGTTATGAAGGAGAAGCTTAGTAAATAGCTTTTTTGGCCAGTTATGTTGGAAACTGGATTGGAAAAAGTTTTCTGCAGACAGCTGTTTTCACATTTCATGAACTGATTTCAGTACGGCAGCGTCGGTCGTCATTGTCGAAGGGAAATCGCCGAGGACTTCAAATGTTTGTTTAATAAGGTACAGAGAAACTTGTAAAGCAGTAGCTAAAAATAAGATATATCTACCACAGAATCATCTTTGGCTCAAACAAAGTGTTCAGTCCTTCTGTGAAAATTTGTTTTGCTAATTGGCAAAAAATTTTGCTTTGAATGCTACAATGAACCGCCTCCTTTGTTGATCCATTACGACCCAATTTGACCACACTGTGTTAGAGCGACAAAATGATCAAACTCACCACGACATTACTTATTTTCTTCGTACAAAAGATTTGTAATTCTCAGCAAATATTGAATTTACGACCACTTCCCGATGTCGGCTTTGTTTGAAAAAGATTTAGAGCGGAAAAGCCTTCATTATACAAGGTCTCCTTCAAAGTTCACCTGGTGGAAAATTACGCAAGTTATCAATCACTTTCAAAGAAAAACCTTGACATTCAAACGTAACTTCATTTCGATATTTTCAAAATAATTTCAGGCAAAGGGTGTTGACAAATCTTGTTTTCAAGGCGCGCATACTTCGTCTCTATTCACTTTAGTTCCCATGTCTAATAAAGATCCTCTTCAAGTTCCTTTCCTAGTTTAATCGCCGTATTGTCAAAGCTTTGTCGGTTGAATCAAAAGAAAAAGGAAACTGGACCATTTAGCTCAACCATTTAGTGTGAACTTTAAAACTGAACATGATAAAGCTGCTAAGCTAAAAATAGGCTTTTGACACTGACAGAGATGAGTTATGTTAAAATTATACAAACATCATCTGTCCTTTCCTTTTCCTCTCATATCTAGCCGAAACTAATAAGATTCACTTTCAAACAGATTTCCAACCATTCGGTCGAGAGCTAGGCAGCTAGAGCTTTGGGATAGAATCTAAGCGTGACATGAATGATCCACTTTGGCTACAGTAAATTGATAATCTTACGAGTCTGCTTGTTCCAGAAGTGTTTGATTTGAAAGCACATGGACTAGAAAAAAGTTCTTTGTTGGGTCATGAATCTATGCTTCCATTGTTACTTCGTAAATGAATCCTCAAGCATTGTTCTTTGAACACCGATCATGATACTTTACAATAAATTGCAAATCTGAATTTCTGTTTGCTTTAACTTCACTTGTGTTTTGTTCTAGTTAGTTTTAGAAATATCAGGAAAAGTATATTATCTCTCTGATTAACCCACAAAGTTATCAGAAACAACTCTGAGTGGATCTTCTGACGAGCATGCAATCACCTCTGAATGAATCTCATTTTTGGAACATCTCTGTCCGTTTAGAGGTGGTAACTTTCTTTCTATCTCGAAGCGATAAGTATATCACGACATCTTTAATAACCTAGTGCGGTGAGAGTGATACCAAACAATAAAAGCCGATTTCAAAGGACAAGATTAACGAGGCTGTCGTGAAGATGTTATCTTCCAAGCCTGAAGCTACGAAACTTATTTTGTGGTCGATATTAAGGTTATACTGGCGCCTTCAAGGGGACAAAGTACTGCTCAGTTCTCTTGTTTGACGAATTCTAATTTACTCCTGAGATGTTTGCGAGAGAACACTAACAACTTACGAGAAGCTCTGCACTAGTGGTGCAGTGTTATCAGTTGCATTTGCCAACAAAATAACGCCTCCTTCCAGTCATGGAACAACGAGGCAGAAATCAGATTAACAATAGCGGGTGAGCGGGGTGAGTATGAACTGATTCCGCTGATGTTACAGCAATCCTTTCGGATGATGACTTGTCCTGACTTACAGCCATCTATGTACTAAACTTGGACTGAAGAGACCTTAAGATCTCTTCGTCGCATAAATCCCTTATTGTTGGTTCATGGCTCTTCAAGTCTACACAGAGGAAACCTACTTCTCCTAGTTTATGAAAATTGCTGACATTTATACTCTTTGGAAGGTAAAGAGTATTGCAGGATTAAGAGAGAAATCAAGTCTTAAACCAAACAAGGTTTTTTTCCGTCGGAGTATAGACGTAAAGGGTAGGTTAGAGAGAAGAGTAAGAAAGTAACATGCCCTTTATAGTTCATGAAATACGTACTCTGTCCAATACAAGCCATTCACAAAGACCAATTTAACCTCAGATAGTTTCAAATTAATTGTAAAATCACTGCATGGATACCTGGCACTTGCGCCACTTATAACGAAGAGTGTTTAAAACGAAACTTACTCCACGAAAGTTAACGGTGCAAAACAATCAGCGATCTTACACTTCTTACAGCAACAAAGCATGGGCGCACCTTAAAACCGCCTGTTTACTTTCTCAACTGTCCCTTGTAAGTTCAGAGCTATACACTGTCTACGGTGTCAGAGAAAAAAAATATTGTGCCTCAGCTGTGAAAGCAAGTCCAACAGAACTCTTCATTAAACTTAGCGGTTACGATTCTTAATCTCCTCTACCACTGATTACTGACACCCATCAAGTTTTTAGTGGAAGGAACATACTCTTTTCTGTTATCTAAGTTAGTAAGTTGTAATACCCTTTGTGAGTATGTTACATGTCCATTCCTATAGTTTTAGTCAAAGATAATGACAACAGAATTTTCTAGAAGAATTCAACTTCCTCTCCATATGGGAGAATCATCATGTTACAATTATCTAGTGATTAAAGCTTTATGTTGCCCTTTTATTTGGCTGGATTTCATTGCTCAATCTAAGCAGCTTTTTAAGAATGATGTACATAAATACATGTATGGAAAACACGTATTTTAACTTTTCTACAAGTTTGTGAAATCGATTTCCTTATGTGCGCAAAGCTCGAGATCAAGAACAAAGGTGGAGGACTTGAAACGTAAATATTTCCCAAAGAGAATAGAATTTTCTCAAATGCACACAAAAAACTTCAAGAAAAAAAAATAATTTTCCTGCCGCAGGGCAATGCGTTCAACGACACCATCATATTTGGGTTAGCTAAAAAACCTCGTCGTTTTCCAGCTGGATGCAGACGGAGGATGCTGTATCAACTGAGCTAGGTTATATATATCTTTTGTCTTCTATACTTCAATAACAATGTAATCTATCATTGATCAAGTGGTTAAGTATAAACAAAATTCCAAAAGAATAAATATTTAATTAAAAGAAGAGGTTACGTTTCCTAATAGTACCTCTCGTTTTCTAAACATAGACTATCACAGGTTCCAGCAGTTTGTCTGATATAAGTTCGAAAGATATCATACTTCATTTTGGCATGTAGCATAGTTCTTAAATAAAAACAAATAAGAGATAAAAACGACTAACTTCGTGTTTTTCCTCGCTGAGACTCACTTTAGCAAATCACACATAATGTCAAACATATACTTATTACGGCGACAAATGAGAATTTCAAACCCATCCAGACAGTAAAGCCTTGTACAAAAGTGGTTTTTATCACCATTAATGGAATAAAGTTTCCTCGAGATTCACACCGCCTTCATAAAAATTTAGCGAAGTACCTGTTCTTTTGGTTTCACGAAAAACTTCGAAGCAGCGTGACTCACAACAGGTCTTTCGCTTACGACAAAGGTATAGATTTTCGATTAATCGAGAATGCATATGTTTGCTTTTGAACCTACTCTGTGCAAATACCTGATTAAGTCGGGCTTTTTTCTTAAGCGTTTAAACACAACAACTATTAAAGCAGCTATTTGTTAATATCTGAGAAATCCCATTTGATTTTGTTGCCTTCGAAGAGAAGAGCAAACATTGCACCTTGATGTCTGGGATGTACTTCATCTAGTTTACGAAAGATCTCTCGAGGCATTAATAAACTACTATGTCTTGGAAAAAAGTTTTTAACCCCTGAACGTCTTAGATAAATAAAGTGAATGCTGTAGTCGATTAAACTTTTTATATCCCGAGACAAGGTAAGCCGTCGGCAAACATAAAAGGAAAATAAGCCATTATTCACACTCCCAAGTGCTGTGTTGATTCGTGCGTCGGCTATCACTGCGCCTCAAGTAAAGAGGGAATTAGTCGCGTCAAACAGTTTAATTAAATAAGTCTTTGAGAGCTAGGTAAATACATTTAATGAAAAAACATACAAAAGCTTAGAATAATTTAGGGACTTAACTCGTTGACTATTACCCGCACCCGTCCCTTCGCTTGATTGTTTCCGCTCCAATCTCACCGGCTGTGGATTTAGATACAATTTACGACATATTTCTACGCTTAAGACTAGAAACGTGTTCATCAACTTGGGAAATGTTACAAGCCATGTTGTTGCTGTTTAGTTCACCCTTGTTAACCTAATGAATCACATTGCTTTGCTAGAACACTCCTTTTCATGCTTCTATTCTTAAAACGTTATTTGACTGGTGTGAAAAACTGTTGCTACATAAACATACAATAAAAAACGCCTTGTGCTTCTTTAAATCATGGCACCTGATTGTTACAGCGGAAATATCAGCTGTGTTTTCTAAAAAGGCTGGTTTTGTTTGCCAACTAAACACGTGTTCATATTTTTTTAAAAAATTATGCTTTGTGGTGTTTTTCATACATCCCACTTCTTTAAGCACATTAATTTATCTTAGTTTTTGTTCCATAAAATGTACCGAGAAGGTCTTCTTCAAGACTTCAAGACACTTTATTTCCTTCCTTTTGATATAACACGTCTGCGGTTACGGTCTGTCCTTTCTAAGAAATGATTCTTAAAAGACTTTTGCCGGTAAAACGTCCCGACAATCACAACGATCATGTCGCAAATTGGCCTATGCTGCCTGAAATCATCTCCGAAATTCAGGGACCGTGAAAATCCCAGTCACCTACACCGATCTCTTTCCCATTTGAAAGAACTCAGTGTGCCTTCGAACTGCACCTCCGTCGGAGAGTTAGCAAAACAAACTCGCTAACACTCGTTAAGAGAAAAGTAAATAGACCCCATTGACGTGTTGGCCAAAATAAGTGGTTAAGAATATTGTTTGCCTTTGTCAATCGCTGTTTGTCTAAACTTTTTTATTAAATCGTGCAGAGATAATGAATTCTATAGTGATTACGTGCATTTTCTCTTAGTGGAAAGTTGATCTCGCACTGTTAAATCTTAAGAGCTTTTTAAGTGTAAGACATAATACACCCAGTCGCGTAAGGTATACACACATGCAAAAACCGCAATCAAAGTTTATAATGGCGAACGTTAGAGAATCGTGAATTCTGACGCACAACTTTCCGAACAAATATTGTACGAGCGGCTTTTCTATTAGTGAGTTCTCCCTTAGGGGCTACGTATCTTACTAAAACCTGCGGTTTTCTTAAATACTGCATAAACCAAGCTTCATTATGCCGCAGTGTAATAAATAGGTATAAATTGGCGTCAATCAATTTGATCTATTAATTGTGGCCCTCAATCGAGACCTGGCGACCTTTAAAAACAATTGCCCGCCACCCATTGTGTAATATTTACAATACCCCAGCGTTTGATAGCCCCGAGGCCTTGTGTTTAATTGCTTATTGTGTTAAATTTCTTTGACTCTGCCGCAAAACTAATAAAGTTTTATAAAAAGCAAAGAAGCGACAGCCCGTGAACTGGTGTTCCTTTGTTAAACGCTTCCTCAGTCATTTTTGGCAAAATTGGCTTTTTTAGCTTTCTGTTGAATAACCCCAGCAGTGACATAGATCTCTGCATGAAGTCTATATTTGGGAATCTATGGATAAATAATTTGTAACTAAGGTTGGAAAACTAAGTTAATTGAAAAACGAAAAAGCACTTGGTCGTGCAGCAATGGCTGAAATAACTTAGCTCGTATCAGTCATTTTAGCCAGGTGCCTGTACTCTGAGCCAGATACACACAACCAGGTGTGTACAGCCATTCGTTTGAAGTTCTGTTGAAATAATTCTGCGGCATTACTGACATTTTTTAGGTTTTGCTTTATATAGATATACCCCAGCTATTCTTAGTACATGTATAGTTGGGCGGAACCACAAATCTCGATAGATCCAGTACCCTCCTTGCAAGCATTGATGTGGATGACTACTAAAGCGCAGAGGAAGATTGGTCAAGATGCATGTGGGAAAAGCAGTCATTCATTTTCATGAAATCAAATTTGATTAAAGAGATACCTTTCTGAATATGTAAAAGCTGACTTCTCTTCACTGCTATCCCTTTGTTGGAGAAAGAGGGGGTGGCTACTAAGTTCACGTTAAAACCGACTTAACGTGTCAAAGAAGGGTGAAAGAGATTCGACTGGAAGACGTTCTCGACTGTGCAAGTCAACAACACTAAAAAAGCCTCCTTTGTCATGTGAATTTCAAGTAAAAAATATATGGTTAAGAGGCTACATTGAAAGCACAATTAAGTACAGCGCTCTTAGAACTAGAAGACATAGCCTCGACGACACACCTCGTGGAAACGGCGTGGCCTGGTGATAAGGAGGTGAGATTAGAATTGCGCATTACATTTGCGTAGCCGATTACACTGCAAAAAAATTCGATGCTGATGCATTAAGCTCTTTCATCCCAAACGCAACCATATAGCTTCTGTAGAGAAGAAATCTGGACATTCTGCAAGCAGTTGGTATATTCTTTATCAACAATTCTAAACGTACTTTTGTTTTTAAATGTTTTCATGTTGGTTTTCACAATTAACACGACAGTGTCACTAATTAAGATCACTTCATTTCTTAAATTAAATTGAAATGTTATGTTAACTAGCGCAATTGCAGTCAATGTTTATTTACTAGCAGTTTAATTAAATCAAGCAGGTTTGGTACTAAATCTTTTGTCATAGATATAGAAATCGCCTCTTCGAGTAACAGCTGTCGTTGTGATAAATGGCAATTGTTCCTTTAATTAAAAACAGCGTCTGAATTAAACCTGAACTTAACGTTGAGATCCATCAAAATTATGGCAGTTCTTGTTCATCACAGCAATTTCTCTAAGTTTGGTAGTTATGTAAAGTACTTATCCACTTTTCTGGCACTAATAGGGTTTTTACTAAATGGTATGTTTCAGACATCCAGTAACACTTGTTGAACCTGTTCAGCAATTGTTCTTTTGGAAATAACTCCAGTAATTAAACTTTGATGGATAAGCCACCCGGTAAGAGTCTGTCCACGAGAGAACCAAGCCATTTGTATCACATGCCATCTCACCGATTTCTTTCAAACTTTCACAGATTAACAGGTTCAAAACGTTATCCAAGAATCCAAAGTATTTTAAGTTTTCGCTTAATCCCTAGGGGGCGAAAGGAATAAAACCCAAATATATGCTCGAAAGTAGCACAAAATGTAATGAAATTGAATCTTCTTTGGCGCAAAAGTTGTTATAACCGTTAGCAACCAGCGCTTTTATACTTGAGTTCAAATTGTCCTCCAGATCCACTGCTAAGGCTACTTTACTTTGCACAAATAGACATGCCTTGACAATGAAGAAGGAAATGAATAGCGTTCCAAATCAGTGGATTTGGTTTTGAAAATCCCACTAATTATGGATTGTTGCGAGAAAAAGCGAGGTAAGACATTACACGATTTACATGGTTCGTAGCTGTAATGATCATTGGTTCTCATAAAGCGGGCCCTTATGGAGCAGATTTTTCCCTGAACCACAAAATTCCGCCATCATAAACGTTGCAATTTGGGTACTCTCCGAGTTTAGGGAAACGAAACGCTGAATCGAGCAATAGAAAGTCTAGAAACACGTAAATTTAAAACAAGAAGCATTTTCTCTTAAATGACAGGTGTGTGAATGTTCAGTTCTTCAGTTTCCACTTTTTACATATTTCGTTTCAAAGGAAAATTGTAGGGAGTTGATTTATACATACACCCTCAATACAACAGTCCGTAGTCACTGCCTATGTTTCTTCTCTAGTCGTTGCAGCTTCGCCAGATTCTCCTTCAAGATTGTGTTGCCTGGATCCAGCTTCGCTGCGATCTCATAATGAAGCCTGGCCTTTGCTCGATTTCCCTATGAGGAAATGTAACTATAGTTGCTTTTGAAGCACTACTGGTCACATCTAATTTCAACTATCAAATGAACTGAGACTGATTGTCACCATTACCTACTGTGAATTTAATCATTACTTCATTTATTTATCATTCTTTCTCATTGGGAAAAAGGTATTTCGATTTTTCTAATTTTTTTCCCCAGCTACCAGAAAACGATGAAACAAACGGACAAAAAAAAATCCAACAGAGTGAACTTATCAAAGAGTTCTTATTCTAACCTCGTGTTTAAATTAACTGATGAACTCGCCTTCTATCAGCACATAGATAACAGGGTCAGAGAAATAAAAATAGCAGTTTCTTTCAAATATTATACAAAATAAACGCAACACGAGCTGGAATAACCCGGCACTAACCTCAAGGTGGAATATGACTCCAAGATTCAAATGAGCACTGAAAAGTTGTGGGTCCAGCTGGACAGCTTTCTTGTAGCTCTATTTCAAAAAAAAGATCGCACAACATGACCTACTTACCCCAAGGGACTTAACCTAACCAATCACAACTCAAAAAAAGATCGCACGATATGACGCACGACATGACTTACTTACCTCAAGGGATTTAACCTAACCAATCACAACTCACATTTAACTGGAAAAGTTTCTCGTTCTTACCTTCTTGGCTTGTTGCATGTTGTTTAAATCCTTGAAAAAATTTCCCTGATAATAATAAAGTTCTGCATTTTCGACATGGCGCCTGAGAGCGTTAGTGACTACTTGCAGAGCCTGTGAAAAATAACGATATCCAATTCGCACAACGTATGAGGGATTTTCTATAATAACATACAGTAAATCCTTTGTTGGCGAGGTTTATGTGAGGACACATTTATCGATCACAAAGTTACATGAACCGCCTCAAGCACATTCTGCTATTGAAAATCACCGAAAACCAAGAGTAATTTCGCTTGAAGGTAGCGAATCAAAACGATAGCAATCCCAACAGCCAATCAGAGAAGACGCAAATGCGATCGAGGGTACCATAACATGCCCCTTTTCTCAAAAGTCCAGTAACAACTGGTCCCAAAGAGCTTGTTTTTGTTGATCAAGTTTACATTCAAGATCGAGGTTATCGATAACTTGAAATTCACTCAATAAAAATTTCAGAAAATGAAAGAGTATGTGTTCTTTAGCCAAGACCCGCCCTACTATTCCTTAGATTAAATTTCCAAATATGGCTTTGGGCCCGTTTATTTAATGAGGCTTTTGAAAAACGAGCCGAGTCACGGAGCATTCTGTGGTCGAAAGCGTCCTCAAGCAACTTACTTCATCCAATTGTTTGTTCTGAGCATACATTCCTGCTAGTGTCTTGTAGTGTCCTGGATTATTAGGATCGTCTTGCACCAGGCCCATCATAATACCCATGGCCTGATCGAGCCGGTTGGTTTGTCCGAGAAGAATTGCCTGCAGAAAGAATGAAACAAACTTGGAAATTTTTGGCATATTGAAATAATTTTCCCGCCAATTGGTAGTAATAAAAATTACCTTCAACTGCGAAAGCTCGCAATTTGAATTTTTAGGTTAAAAAAAGAGGAAGAAGTTGATATACCATTAACGTAAACCTACATACTGTAACAAACTGCATAAAGTCCCAAACACAACGCCACAAGAAACAGAAAAAATGTCGAGTACACAACACAGTATCGTGAGCAATTCAGGTAAATTCACATCACGAAATTAGAAGTGCACAATACTGAGGCAAACCTAAACTGGTCAGTGCCTCTCTCACGAAGTTAACATTTCACTCACATAGTTCGAGCGAGTTTCAATATTCGTTGGTTCCAGTTCTATTGATTCTTTCCAAGCCAGTTCTGCTTCTTTTAGCTGCTGGTTGTGATAATACAGTACTCCAAGCAACTGTAACGTACTTGGGTCTCGTCGTATTGACAGAGCTCTGCAGAAATAAAGAGGCCTGAAATTAGATAGGTTAGATTACCGGCCGCTGTTCGGGATATAAGCCCGCACTCCTCTCCGAAGGAAGTATCAGAGAATGCAATTGGACTGCCAGCGGAAATCGAGCCTAGAGATTAGAACTTTACACATAGGAAAAAAGTGAACTTATAATTGTATGTCAGCATATCTAACGTTTCTACGAATGAGGAATACAAACATGTTTTTTTTGGAATGCTAAGAGCCTGTTATTCAATCAATACATAGACAGCTGGGGGAGCTTTTTATTCCCTCCATATGGATCGAAAGCTTTAGACGAGAAGAGATTGGGAACAAACAAATCAACGAGACAGGATGCTGATCCTTTTGACACAGAATTAAAGATGATGTCCGAATAAAATGCTACCACTCACACTGAATTGTCCGATATTCCACACAGTATAAAGAACACTCTGCACCTTTCAAAATTTTTGCATTTCTATGCGGTGATATGAAATTTTAGATACACTGCACTCAGAAGGTCTGTACCTGTTGTCTACAATTCAAATGCGATTGGAATTATATGAAATTGATGCATGTCAGTGCAAACCTCTTGTAAGTTATTTCTGCATCCCGAATTTTTCCTTCTGCACGTAACTGCCGAGCCATGTTCACCATCGCCACTGCGTGAGTAGGGTTGAACTGTAGAGCTTTGTTGTAATTCTCCCAGGCTTCTTTTGTCCGACCTAGCAGAGCAAAATAAGATATGAAATATATCAAAGTCTGGCCATCATAGATAGAATTTCCTTTACATAAGGTGGTGCAATTCTTATAAGTGTACCTGCCCACACTATATTACGTTTATAATATAACCAAGACTAACAAAAGAATTTTATAATGCACAAATAAATAAAGAAATGAAATAAATTGGATTTTAAGAGTTGCAAATTAACGAGATGGCTCTTTGTCCACTGTTACCAAGTCAAATTTTGAGGAAAACCGAGAGCATTGAGAAAAACCTCAAATGCGGGACAAGGACAATGAACAACAAACTCATAGGCCGATCATTTCGAAGCCTTGCCCCCCCTTTCCGGCAACAGTGCCCGGGTATGGGGAATTTGAACCGTGAACCAGAACTGTCGAGTCTTTCAAGCGGAATACACATTCTTTGAATGTTAGTGGGAGACTTCTTTGAATTCATTTTCATGTAATTGTTTTAATATATTAGCTTTGATTCGTAATATTACAGACACGACAATCTCTCTGGTTCGATTTGGAAACCAACCATACCCAGTTGCAAAACTAAACTGTGGTATTCTGATTATATATATATGGTCACTCATTAAACATGGCCAGCTTGCACATTTATCAATTACTGCCACCTATTCCTCACCAATTTTACCAAGATATACGGCATAATTGTTGTAAGCATCGCCGTTTCTGGGCTCTAAAGTCAGCGCTTTCTTGTAAAACTCCTCAGCTTCATCAAATTTCTCTTGTTCAATGAGCACACCAGCCACGTTTAACACTGCATCTAAATAACTTGGATTAAACCTAAAAAAAGGATTATTTTCAAAACTAGTTACTTGAAACTGGAATTATCAGAATTTTAAAGCTTGTAAAAAATATATGTTTGAAAAGACGAAATCTTAGAGTGAACGAGTGTTTCTCTCGTTTACCTGATGGCCTTTTTAAGCATTGCTTCGGCTTCAGAGAGACGCTTTAATGACCTTAAAAAAAAAAGAAAAAAATGTGATGAGTTCATACGGCATGGTCTGTAAATATGGCGCTGTTCAAAACTTCAAATCACATATCATAGCCTTGCCAATCAGAAAGACAGACTGATGGACGCATAGACAAATGGGTAGGTAGGCGGGCGTAGGAGTGGAGAGACAGACAGACTGACAAAACGACGGACAGACACACAGACAGACAAACAGAAAGACAAACAGACAGACAAACGGATAGTCACAAGGACAGAAAGTTAAGCAGACAGAGGAACAGACATACAAACTCTGAAACCCACTCAATCAGTAACATAAATCATTTGCTGAATTTAAAGGGCCACTATCCGCCGAATTAGAGACGAGATCTACTTGAAGACCCCTCCGGATAAAAAGTGACTTAAATCTACTTACGCCAAGCGAGTTCCAAGATTGAAGTACGAGTTTGCATGATATGGATCATTCTTGATGGCTTCAGAAAAGTGCTGCATGGCTTCCTAAGTGTAGAAAAAAAAAATGAAAAAGACTTCAGCACAACAAGAAGGGTAAGAATAAGGCGGTTTAACCTTTTAATCTCAGACCAGCATCTAATTTCTCCTTACAATATCACCCCTGAATCAAACATTGAGGTCACGAGAATAAAGGAAATGATCACCAACAAAAAGAAAAGTTGTTGATTCTTAAATTGATTCTCCAGGTCAGTTCTTTAGAAAATGTATGAAGAACAGTATGTAGAATATGTATGCTGATGTTCGGATGAAAGAGCTAGCAACTGGTGCACCAGACGATGGCTTCTGGCCAAGGTCATTTTGTTGTATTCGTGCGGAAGACTAAACAGTGCTACTCACAGTGCCTCTCTCCTCCCAGGAGTAGAACTGGACACCAGCCTAGGGGAGGGGGGGAAGGGTGGATAACGTGGGAACAACAGGAATCTCATCCAGAAAGGGTAAAAATATTCCTATATTCCTACTAGATTCACGCCATAGAATCCGTAGCTACGTGATCAACAAATTGTTGGCAAGTGTCCCAGGAGAACGACTAGAAAATAAGAGGATAATAATTAGACGACGAATGCTTGAAAGGCTTTCATAGGCCATACACCTCTACCTGATCGTTTTCCAAAAGAGTACCCAGATTGTTATGAGCGCTGACATGATTTGGTGCCAACCTGATGGAGCAAAAACAGATGGTCGTTCCATCCCTTAATTTGTTTCACTTATTACTAACATAAGATCAATCTCAACTGACACAGGTATGCAGATGGATATTACACATCATTTGTGTGCGCTGTTAGACAGACTATTGGTTGATTTTCATGTAGAAAAATTCAACTTTAGCTTCTCTCATTGCCGCAAGATATTTAGACCCTAAACACTTGTCAAAAAAGGGTTGACACTCACTTTAGCGCAGTTTCATAGTGATATATGGCCTCTTTAGCCCTTCCAGTATCTTTTAGAAAATTTGCAAAGTTGTAATGTGCTTTAGCATTATGAGGAAGAGTTTCAATTCCCGACCTGAAAAAAAAAAAACAGGGCAAAGAAATATAAGTTAGTGAACTTCAGACTCCTAGCGTAACCATGATGCATTGCGAAAGTGCAGTAACCATGATGCATGGCGTAGCTATAATAACTATTTATGACCGGGACAAAGTTCTACACGATTCCTGACAATCTCGTGCCTGACAAACATATCACACAGCAACAAGCGCCGTTACGAAATGAAAAACTCTACATCTCTTGCCATTTCTTTCAAGCCATAACCACATAATTTGTGTTTCAAAGTAAGCAGAACTCAGCAAAATTCCAATTTTTTTTCTCTCTTTAACTTATTTTAAAGAAATATTGAGTCTCCTCTTTCTAGCTTGTTCCAATGTAAAGATAATCACACTCAGAGAAACAAGTTGCCATGACATGAAGCAACAGGGCAATTCGCTATTTGCGACAAGAACAACTCATGGGAAAAAACTCTGTCTCGGCGAGAGAATTTGTTTTCGAAACACGTCACACTAATTCAAGATGAAGTGAACTCGAACGTTTGTTCGCTGGGACTTGTTTTAAAGGAAGTACACAAGAAGCGTACTTGAGAAACATTGCAGCAACAGGTCACTTGACATGAATCACCCTCCATTTGTAGATCTCAAAATCTTACCTAAATAGCGTCTCCCTATTGCTCCATACACGATTCCGTACCACAGTTTTCCAGCAGAAAAGTCCCACCATCACAAATACCCCTGATAGTAAGACTTTTTGCAGGACATTCATTCGTGCTTCTGTAAATTTATCTTTGAATGCCACTTTACCATTTGGTGTCACCACCGATGCCAGTTTGTTGAGTCCACAAACAACAAGCATACAAAACCCCATGCTACAGGAAAAGAGAGGGCAGAGATTTGTCAACATCACTGCAAATACATCTTGCTGAGGTAAAAATTTCAAAATTCTTTTACCAATCAGAGTTTCCGATTACTTTAGAGTATATTATCCTTAGACAAGATGACCCTTTTTGTGTCCAGAACGTCGTCGAGTCACATGAACAAATCAAGTCACGCCAAGTCACGAAAAGTCAAATCCCGTCACGTGAAGTCACGTCAACACACGTCACTTCGTCGGCATCAAATCAAAAGATGTTAATTCCGGTCAGGATTTCGAGACAAGTTTGTCTTCCAGATGAAATACTCACTGTAACATTTCACAGCATACCTTGGTATGTAAAGTATTCTCTCAGCAACAACAAATCCAACTCTGAAGAACAAGTTAGAAGCCGGAAGGAATGGAATAGCCATTATGGCCAGAGACAAAACGAGGACATCTTGATCACGTGGCTACCGAGACAAATATAGAATTTAAAAGATGCTCTGTCATCAACTACTGAGTCGTTACCCTTAAACGACAATTACATTACATGCATGCATAAATGCTGTGGCTCAATATTTTTCAATCTGTTTTTTGCTTTTGTGTGTTTGTTTGTTTGCTTTGTTCAAACCGGTTTGTTTTTTTTATCTCCCTTTTCTTTCTCAGATTGCAATAATGAATACAATGCAAAGGAAACTGAATAGAATCAAATACACATGTAATGAACTGAAGGTCCCAGATCATTTTCAACAAAATTTATGATTGTAAGCTAAACGCAGATGTATGTAGAAACCACTATTTACCAGGATCTTATTGGAGAACACAGCATAATAAACCAGAAGAACAGCTATCAAGGCAAACATCAGTGTGCCTAAGTTTCGGGAATCCAGCGGCGATTCCACAAGAGGTATGCTTCCCATCTGCCAATCATAGCTCAACACACTTGGCGACAAAAGCAGCCAAGAGTTGAACGCTACCAGATATGAGTAAGTCATAACGCGAGTACTAAGAGAATCTGAAAATGAGGCAGGGTTGTCCTGAATTGTAAAATGTGGTAGATTTCCTCCAAGCATCCATACTCTGAATGCCATTAGACAAAAAACCTGCGGCGGAAAAAAACAACATCCAGGTTTGCTTCAAGTCAGTAAATCGAATAGGAAAGGATGTTAACTCTGAGGCAAATTAGGCCTTTACGAGGCGCAAGGTCTGGGTTTCACCCACGTTAAAACGCAAGAAGGAAAAAACATTTCTTTAGGGTTACTAATTCTGATTGACTATAAATTATCATGTTGGGCATGCTTAATTTCCAAGATTAATGACTTTTCGCCTCTTTCTACAGGCAAAAATTAAATATCTTGCTTTAGGTCGGTATAAAAGTATCTGCATTCAAAATTGACAATTTACTTCTTTTTTGTAAGTTCGATCGAACGATCGATCTGTAACTGAACGCACGTACGGTAACAGAGAACCAATTGTTAAATGAACACTGAATGCTACCTTTTTTCTTTATAGGTCAATAGGTTTTAGTCATCTGATGCGGTTCTCCATCTAATTACGTGTAAGCAATAAGCCGGTGCCACACTTAACGATTTCATACCCCGACGCGGCGCAGGCGCAACGATCAGCAGAAATCTCGTAGTGTACCGGGGCAGCGATTGCAAAATTTCCGCGACAATTTCGCCAGCGATCATTTTATGAAATTTCTAAAAGAGAGTTGTATGGAACAGCCGGACTTAAGAACATAACTTATACATCGACCTTTGAAGCGGCATCGATGAAGAGGAAAACGTCAAATGTAGCGCTCGTGATGATGATGTGGATGACGATGGCAATGACGACGAGGAAGAGGAAGCGAAGGAAAGGGATTTTAACAAGAAAGTCTTCTTCAAAACACATGACAGCACAAAACAACATGAAGCTTAGTTTAAACTATTTTGACAACGAAGTGTGGTCACTAAAATCGGTTTTTGGGAAATTTAAGGTCCCGTATTGTTTCTTTACGTCAGATTTTACCCACAGGATTCTGTCGCCAATGGTGCAAATTACAAACCGCTAATAACATTTTTCATCGTGCTCTTCAATTCCCCAATAACATAATAACAAAGGTCGTTTGCTTTTTTTCTCGAAATCCCCACGGCACTTTAAATCCTGAATAAAAGCTTCCAAAGTGTCTAATCACAATTATGCTTTCTAAAAACAAGTTTACCTCACACTTACAGATACAGAGAGAACAAGTGTTCGTAATAGAAGACGCTTCAATGCCGTAACGTCCTTTTCCACTGACACAGTTCTTTCTCTGATGACTCTGCAGGTCAATACAGTCAAACAGAAACATGTGCTGTTGTTACTTCACAGAAACTTACTAAAAGATAGTTGAACAAAGATTTGAAACATACAAATTACAAACATTACTCCTGAAAAGAAGATTCACTTGTTTCACAAAAGAACCTAAAAAGAAGGGCCTTAGTCACTAAAAATTGCTTTTTCTTGATTTTTCTATCAAATTGAGGTCCAGGCTATTTCTTTTTAACCCTTTAGCTCCCGTGAGTGACCAAGACAGAATTTCTCCTAACTATATCTATACAAAATCATGCAGACAAGTGATGAGAATAAAGAAAAATATCAATTATGGGATTACTAGTTGATCTGATATCAAATTCTCCAAACTAACATACTGAGAATTGTTTGGCAGACAGTAAGGAGAATTACTTATGAGATCTTGGGAGTTAAAGGGTAAAGAACATTTTGAAGTCATTTAATGTCACCTACACCGTAACTCCAACACCATGTAATCTTTCACAGTTCTTTTTGCACTTGGCAAGTAAGGCAACAGTTCACAGAAGTTCCAATGTAATTTAAATGATAAACTGAATTATATAAGCAATTTGATCTTCATGATCTATTGGAGGACAGACACATAGATGATGTCAAGATTAATAACCTTTTGCCTTTTCATTACATAAAACGTATAGATTCCATGTTGCAGTGGGTCTGTACAGTATAGATCACAGAAGACATCAAATGTGCCACTGTATAGTTCTTACCGCATTTTGGAATCATCTGTGATCTATTATTGAAAAGATACACATTTGATTAACATGATAGGATTGCCATGTTTTTAAAAGAAAAGTAACAAAACAGGTCTAAAAAAAAAAAAAGAACCTGGCATATGATGGTATGATTGAGACATCACTTACCTCCAAATCAAATTCTTGTTAATAACCATACAATCATATGCAAAGCATACACCAAACACAGTTATGCCATGCTCCTTTACCAGCATAGCAATGGCACCAAGAACCATGTAAATAATTGTGTACAATATCTGGCAACAGCCTTTGTTTCCTACAGACCTAGAAAAGGGTGCAAATTAAAAATTACCTACAACCTGAAATTGGAATCAGCCAGAATAAAAAAGATTTCAATATTGCATCACAGAGGCTTTTGTAAAATGAAATTCACCTTACAAATGCTAGAAATGAAAGTAGGAACAACAAACATGCCAGTACATCAGCACGTCCCACAACTCCTGTCACCTGAAGATATAAACACATTGGTAAATGTTATAAAAATAACTGAACCTTCAAAATGGACCTAAAGTTTTATTTTATTGTTACTACTCCCACTTTCTTTCACTTTTGAAATCCTCTGCCAAAACTGTTCAATGTGGCAGATTTAGGGAATTTTTAGAATTTATTAAATGAATTGGGTGTAGTTATGATGCAAAAAATTGAGACCATTCAATTTTTCAATCATATTACCATAAAAGCACCCGCCCTCCCAAACATGAGGATCCTGTGATCCAACAAGAGAAAGTAAGGCAGTAATAATAACAAACTAATCCACTCCATCAATAAATATGCCCCCTCTCCTCCCTTAATCATGCTTCTTATGGAGGAAGGAGAGGGGTTGGAAATTTTTTGCAATGGTGCAGTTATTTCACACTACCCACAAAAATCAGTCATACAGACCTATCATAACAATAATGAGCATAAAAAACATTCAGGTGTAACATGGCATTTTCATGAAACATAACAGCTAATAAATTCCTCGGCAAAATGCTTTGAGGTTGCAAACCGCTCAAATGTAAGCTTACGTGTACATTCACTCTTTGACCCTTGTACTGCCTGAAATGATTAACATGTAACTTCTCCCTGTAATATCCTACATTATCCAGCAAACATATAATGAGAATGCTAAAAATAATCAGGTAGAAGTTGTTATCTTGTTCCAACACGAAATTCTCGTGACTAATTTACAAGGAGGGGAGGGGGGAGAGTCAACAATCAGATCCTAGAAGTTTGAAGGTTACGAAAGAGAGACAAGTCCTGAACTTACAGCTTCTGTATGGACAGGATGTGTAGCAAATAACATTCCCGCAATAAATGCAAGCACACTGGACTTGAAGGCCGCTACTTCGCACATATAAGTATACAACAGACAAACCAATCCGTGAAGAACAACATTGACAGCATGGTATCCAAAAGGTTTTAAGCCATGTATTGCGAAATTTATTCTAAAAGTTAAGACACAAAGCGGTCTGTACGACTTATGGCTCGTATTACTCCACATTGGCTTGCCCCAGAAGTCGTTAGAGAGTATGTTCAGCAGCGGAGTTTCAGGGCGAATGTCCATGTTCTCTTTGATCGCAAAAATGTCATCGTGTACTAAATCGTAATCCAAGCTGTTCAGATAACAAGCTAACGAGGTAAAAGCAATAATTCCATATCCTAAACTCTTAGGTAACCTTGACAAATGCGTATTGCAGAGATCGCAGCTTCTGTCGTTGCAAAGAGGTCTTGCTGCCCTTTCATCTTGTGACTTCAAATTCGCCGCCATATTGAACCTGGATTATCCCAGGTTGTATTATTGGCAGATCAACTCCAGTCTAACCCTCCCCTCCGTTAAAGAAAAATTTTACAAATTGTCACTATAGCAACGATGATTGCTCAGTTAATGTCCAAGATGGCGGAAGAAGAGGTCGATAGACGGCCTCTCTCTTGTCCAGCTGGACCCCTGAGCGACCGTAAACTAAGCGCAGAAAAGCTCCCAAACACAAGACCATTTTCAATGGGTGCAATGGAAGAGGGAGGTGAAGAAGAAATGTCAGATGAACTTCTAGAAGAGATTTTGATCGAGCGTGCCAAAGACGGAGATAGTCTTGCAAAATTTCAACTTGGACAGTTTTACTTTGAGCGGGAAATCTTCGATAAAGCTTTAATTGCTTTTGAAAGAATCAAGAGCACTGATTTTCAAGCAAAATACCAACTTGGAGTAATGTATTATGATGGCATTGGAACAAAGCCCAACCCGGTAAGCATTGAATTGCTTCGAAACGAAGGTTGACGTAATATTTGGTCAGCGTAATGATTGTTTACATGATTGGAATGAAACTCAGGATGTGTATAATGCGATACAAATTTACTATCTGAAGTTAATTTGAGATATACCTAGGATCATTCTTTTACTTGTTATTGTCTGGCCGCTGGGATTTGTTGTTCTTTGTTTAAAGTTTATCAACTACACACGTCATGTTATGTGCGCACAGCCGTGTGTATATAGTTATACACGCCATAGTGGCCCATTAGGAAATATGTAGAACATACGCGCCCGCTATGTTATAATCGCAAGTAACAAAGAGCAACTTCTTGTTTCAGGAATGAATTTATATCACGTTTAACTAGAAATATTGGTACAAGCATATTTTTTAAAAGTCAAAGATGGCATTGTCATGGTCGACTTAGGCTAAGGCAGAGACAGAAGCACTCTAAAACACGTTAAAAAAATCAACTTTTTATTCCAATAAAACCTTGGCTAGTATAACTTTTTTGGGTAAACACTCCTTAACAATTCAAATTCAAGAAGTTATTAGCATGTGACTTCTCCCCATAATATCTTTATGCTACCCAGCAGACGGGTAATCAGAATACTCAAGCTAATTGGGTAGAAGTTGTATTGATCTAACACCAAATTCTCGTAACTGGTTCAGAAGGAAATGTGTAGAAAGGAGAATTAAAAATCAGATCTCAGAGGTGAGAGGGTTATTTCTTGAAACCTTTTAATCTATTCTTTTTTTTTCCATGCATTGACCAGGAAAAAGGATTTAATTTCCTTAAAGAAATTGCACAGTCCACCAGTCCTGAGGCAGCTCACCTCATACCCTTTGCCCAGTATAATGTGGGCAGAGCTTATTATGAAGGGTTTGGCATCAAACAGTCTGATCTGGAAGCAGAGAGATGGTTTCTTGAAGCAGCAAGAGATGGTGAACCTACAGGCAGCATAAAGGCTCAAACAGTATTGGGTTTGTTCTACTCCAGACCTGGTGAAGACTCTTTTGACTTACAGAAGGTTTGTTAGTAATTGCTAATGCATCTCAACACTAGACAGCATTGTCCTCTTCCAGACTGTGCCAGGGGTTCAACAGGACCCAATATTAAATGGTACATATTTTAGTATTAGTCCATATCACTCAAGTTTATAGTCCTTTTTTTGCGCATGCTAATTGGTTAATTTGGAGGTGAATAGGGAGTGATATTCACCTCACAGCAGCTGAAGAGGTAAAATCAGGCATCAAGATTTTAATTTCTGTCTATTGTTTGATATAGTGAGGGAAATACATTGATTTTTTTGTATCTGTGTGGTATACACTAAAAAATATATTAACCTTGTTGGTGAAAGTGGTTTATATTACCTCCACTGTGGTGAATAACTGTGAAATAAAGCAGAGTGAGAAAAAGAAAGATGGAGGTTCTGGGCACCGGTCACTTGATGAATATGAGCAGATCCAAACATCACTCTTTTTTCATCCTCCTACAATTTTTGAGCGGTTTACTATCATGCTTTGTTTTACTAACTGAGCCCCTGGAAGAGGCAATAGCCACTGCTTATAGTCTTATTTTTTAATAGGTCATTTACTCCAGGGGGAATCCTAGGTTAATCAGAACATCTATCCCTACCTTTTTTTTTATTGAAACTTTTTTATCTGTAACACATCAGAGTAAACTATAAAATAATGTTCATTTGTTCTCATCATGTTTTTCTTCAGGCTTACTTTTGGCATCAGGAAGCCACAGGTAATGGGAGCTTGGAGTCACAAGGTACAATATTTAATTAAAATGTTCCATGTTTTTGCAAAATTACAAGAATTCAGAGTATTTTGTGTGCATGTGTGTCATTTAACACCACTTTTCTGATACCATCAGGTGCATTAGGTGTGATGTATGAATATGGTATTGGTGTGCGGCGAGACGGAGAAGCAGCCTTCAAGTGTCTCAAGGAGGCAGCAGCCAGAGGCAATGTCTACGCCCAAGGAAACTTGGCTGTTCATTATTACAGGAGAAAACTGTTAAACAAGGCTGCAGATGTAGCAAAAAGGTGTCATATACACATCATTGTTATTTTATGTTAAGATAGTCTTTGCTATAAACAACTGTAGTTTTGTATGAGGGTGTCATTGGGGTGAACCGTTATCCTTAGGAAGGCCAGAACATTTAGTCATTAGTGGTAAAAATTGATCAATTTTAACCGTTAGTCCTTAAAAGCTAGCCGTAAAATATTTTCCTTTTTTAGACACAAAGGAAAGAAGTTGACCTTAAACCTTTAAACCTTAAAATTATTTTGTTATTGTAGTGGTAAGAGTGAATCCAAGAAAAACAGAATTTCTCTGAAGGGTGGGAAACTGAGTGTTATCCTCAAGTGAACATTAGCTCACTTTTTCTATTTCTATTTGTTTGTTTGTTTGTTTTTGCTCACAAACCCCCATCATGCAGTGTTGGAGAGCAAGAGGACATCGAAGGTCTTGCTCTTGAGACAGATTGTCTACCTCGCTATGTAGCTAAAGGAATCGCTTTGGGATGTTTTGTTTTTGCGCGTTGTTTGCATCATGGGTTAGGAGTGGAGAAAAATAGAGAGCAAGCAAAGAGATGGTATAGCAGGGTAAGTCTGATGGAGCGTTTTTCGATTAAGTGTCGTTAAGCCAATCAGAAGAAAGGAAAGTACCATTAAGGGCCAATGAAAACTCAGTAAATCTAACGAAACTGCCTGAAGCGCGGGAAAACGCGGGCGACTGAGTCGTGATTGGTTTTAGTTTTGAATCTGATTGGTTGAGAAAGTGGTGCGAATTTTCTGGACCAATTATAAAGCAAAGTAAAGCTAAAATGAAGCAATCCCAGAGTACTTTCGTCACTGAATTGAAAATGGTTTTAGAGCAATTTACAACTGAGCGACGGGATTAATTGCGTTGTTTTTTTCTTTATTTTGCTATGAGATTAATCTTAAAAAAAACTCACATCAACCTCTCAATTGAAGGCTATGACAAATCCAACATTTGTTGGCATTTCTCGAACTTCAGGCAGTTTGCTCGTTTTCTTGTTGAATTTTCGTTAGCTTTTTTTCACGTTTTCCGTTCTTCTTAATCGCCGTTACGTTGATGAGCAGCAATCCAAATTCGCTTTAGCTAAAAAAAGAAAAGACATACATGTGGTTTTCCCTCAGTATCTGGAAACACGAAATGTTTAACCAAAGAGTAGTCTGGAAAAGTAAGTTTTACAGTTAACTCCCTGTATTAGAAAAGCGCCCAATATTTTACCGAAGACCAAGCTACACTGTATCGAGTTGTTTTATTATTGAGTAGATGTCCCCGCTTGATAACGTTCTTTATCGTCATCGCCAGTCAAAATGAAATGTTTTTCACTTTAAACATAAAACATAGGCGTGTCTTATCCTTCCCAAAAACAAATTCTTGTGCAGGATAAAGGTATCTATGGCAATTTATCTGGTCGTCCACCATGTCTCATCTGCTGAACTGTAAAGCATCACTTTTGGGAAAACACTATTTAAACCAAAAATAAACTAAGGTATTTCTGTTTGTTCTCTCATCTGACAGGCCAGTGCCTTTGATCTCGAGGTCGTGGCCAGACTGCAAGACGAAATGACCTATGGTTACATATGACGTTTCCTCATCAAAACGTACAGACGTGTTGCAATGGCTTACAAAATGTTATCCTCAGTGGTTTAAAACAACCAGTTCTCTGTCTCACAGAAAACATTCCTTGTGTCGAGCTTTTGTAATCATCTACTAAGAATGGAATATCATGTCTCTAAATGTACAAACAAATTCATGACTGAACTGAACTTGATTTTGCGTCTCTGGCTGTAGATTTGCATTTCTATCTTTAAAGTGTGTTTCATATCAATCATGTAAATTTAATATATTCCTGCTTACTCATTGAAGCTAAGCGAGCAGTTTTGATTCACCGTTTCTTTTAAATCTCTTGTTAATGATATTAATTTATACCAACGATGCCTCTGTATATAGCTGGCTGTAAAGAAATGTGAAACGCATGTACTATAATATTTATATTAGCTTGCCTCTCTTGGGTAATTAAAATCAAATAATCTGAAGTTTGATTGTCTTTGCAAAGTTTTCTTTTGATTTGAGGCTTGTTAAGAGTTTCAAAACGGAATGAAAAATAAATAAACGAGCAATAATGGAATCTTTGCCTTTGGATTTTGTAACTTTGATGGGAGGTTTAATTATATAACTTGCCATAAAGAGTTGATCCGTGATTTCATGTTCTGGTTTTCTGCTTTCTCAGTTGTTCGATTATGGACCAAATCAGCCGATATCCTTAAGACACTGCTGCTAAAATGTTCTCCTAATTGACCAGAGAACGCCCTTACTTCACCTCATCAAATCTAAATTGCGACACCCTTACATTATCTGATTGATTTTCTGGAGAATTTGAAGTTGTGCAGTACATTGACTTTCCCCGATATGGCTTTTTCTTACCGCTTATCACCTTCGTTTTAACATTGTTTAGAGAAAGAAGCAAATGATCTCTCCTATGATTGACAGAGTTAAATCATTAAAATGTGTGTCGGTTTGTTAGCATTTGCTAATGTATCTCAACTGTAGACAGCATTATCCTCTTCCAGTCTGTGCCAGGGGTTCATTTAGTGAAACAGAGCCTAATATTAAATGGCGATCTCTGTAAGAGCCATCCAGGGCATTTCGCATCGGAACAAAGTTTCCCTCAAACTTTGCCCAATAATCTATCTTTGATAGCAAGTAAATAGAACCACATTAGTTTCTAGAAATACGTTAAAATAAAATTTTTAGAGCTCTCAATAGTCAAAGCTGCAAAAGGCCCTTTTTTGACCTCTTGCGAAATCGAAAATTTCAAAAGTTAAAAAGCCCGGTCCTCGTATCACACCGCATGCAGCAAAAGATCTTTTGTATTCTTAAACTGTGTGATATGTAAGGTGTATAAAAGCATTTCAATTTTGATATTCGTTTATTCAGAGATTCGTCATAATTTATTTAAAAACACTCGTTAGACAGCTTTCTGAAATTGGTCAAAAGTAATCTTTCTTTCTTGGTTGATATTGCTCAAGTCCAGACCAGACCATCAAGAACTTCGCTTGATTTCTTCTAATAAGGTGTTTTGCAGCATAAAAATATAAAAACATCTTGCACTTATTAATTTTCTTCGCCGTGGTGACTTTAAACTTTTAGCGATTTTGCTAGCGTGACAGCCGATTATGCAAATGATTCCTTAAGTAAACTCCGACCGTTTTATATAAGTAGCTCGATAAATCTTAGATTTTGACCATTTTAAGTTGAAAATACAGTAGGACAGAGATTTTAGACCTCACCGATTGGTACTGTTAATTAAACCATTAAAAGGTTGACTGAGCGCTTATCAAATTATGATATTCGATACGTGAATTAATTCATTAAAAAAAGGAAAATCGGGGTAGATAAGATATGACAACTTAGGATATACTCCATTTACGCTATAAATTCTTATAACTTACCCCGTTTTTCTGGAATTCATTGAAATAAAAATAGAAGACCGGGTTGAAGATTGGATATGGAAACTTAAAATGTATTCCACTTACGGGACGAATTCTCAGAATTAACCCCCTTTTTCTGGAATTAATTAGAAAAAAAAATGGAAAATTAGGGATGTCCCGAGTTATAATTTATTTCAGTTTTAAGATGAATGGACACAATTTAGCCCGTTTTCAGAATTCATTGAAAAATTCATTCGGCACGTTAGAATACATTCTTTCATGAGATGAATTTTTTTTTTAGAATTCTCTGAAAATAATGGAAAATCGGGCAAAGATTACGCATAACAAGTTGGGATATGTTTCACTTGTAGGATGAATTGTCCTTTTTTTTACCCCATTTTTTACAGAATTCTTGGAAAAAAGCAAAAAACCGGGACAAAGATTGAATGTGACATGTTAGGATGTATTCCACTTAAAGGATGAATACTCAGATTTTACCCCATTTTTCCAGAATTTACTCAAGAAACGAAAAATCGGGGTGAAGATTGACTATGAAAAGCTATGATGTATCCTACATGTGGGATTAATTGTAAGACAAATCGGGGTAAATATTGGATATAGAAAAGTTGTGATATTATCTACTTGTAGGATGAATTGTCACAATTAACCACGTGTTTTTAGAGTTGATTGAGAAAATGGAAAATTGGAGTGAAGATTGGATTTGGTATGTTAAGATATATTCTACTCGCTGGATAAATTGTCAGAATTTGTTTCATTTTTTGAGAATTTCCACATTCAATGAAAGCTCAATCTCGGGTGAGGTCAATAATTTTAGCCGGTACACTGTAGAATCCCCTGCACAAAGCCTGGGGATTATTCGACAAATATCACTGAGTCTGAGGAGATTATTTTGCTGGAAAAGAGAATGTAGCCTTCCCTATAAAATATCAGTGTATCAGTCTGCAAGTTTTGGTGTTATGTTTTACCACTGTGATGTTCTGATTGTTGAAAAGGGTCTGCATATTCCTCACACCCTTGGAATTTAAGTCAGTTTAGCGTTAAAAATGTTTTCAGGCAATGAGAAATTTCCCCAGAAGTCGCTGTATACACAGATGCATGTGCATACATTGACGGCAAACTATTGATTTATCTTTGCGTTATAAGCAAAGTGAACATCTACGTAGAGGCCCACGGGTACTATTCACCGTCAGATAAAACATTGTAACAGAATAATTAAAGGGTTGAGTGCAAAAGAAGCCCTTGGTGACTTGGGATGAACTACTATCGTCTCATTCCAACATGGTGTCTGTTTACTTGTGGAACCAATGGAGAACTTGACATGACATCAAGAGTCACTTAGCAGGGCTTAACAAAAGAAAAATCTATGTAAGCAAAGGACAAGTTTTAAGTTTCTCTTCCAAATATTTAATGTCTCGATCACGTAAAAATAAAAAAAGAAACAATATACATTAAATTTATAATACTGATAAATCACGTGTACGTTTTTATTTAATTGATTATTAGTATTAAAGTATAAAATAAACCTCTTGGCATTGTAAGATAACTGACTAAACTTATTAGTGAAATCTTACATTGTCAAGAGAGGCGTGAAAATGATAGTTATTCACTATCACTTCTTTTCCTTGATCTGCCGCTTGCTTTTCTTGGTGGGGCACAACCGGGCCGCGTCTCGTTGGGCATTCGGCTGGAATAAAAATATAAATGAGAAAAATACAGACAAGCACAATGTTGTTGCAGTCCAAATAAGAGGGAAGGGAAGTTTTCCAGAAAAATGTCATCTAACTTTAACCTCTCTGAGTAGAGCCGGAAAAAACACAAAGTCCCAATTAAAAGTCCTGCCTCAGGTGAGCATCATCTGGCCTCACCTTAGACTCAAACGATAAAACCTTTTGGGTCAGGGTTAGACAAAAGGGAATCTTTTGGCACCAGACACACCAACAGTCGTGTACACATTTATTATTCGTCTTCATGAAATACCTGTACCAGAATTTTGACCGTTCCTACAATGCTTTCTCCTCCTATCTTTCGCAAGATTTTGATGTTGCCATAGCTATCAAATTAAAACGGTAAGATTTGTCTCCTTCAACCAAAGTGTTTCCTCTAGGTATTTGAGCGAGATAGATTTGATTAAACACAACACTTCATCTACACATTCACTACAATCGTGTGCTGTGTGTAATCTTATCATTTAAGGGTCACTTGGAAAGAAGCCCCAAACGACTTGTTAGACATGCCACTGAAATGGGACCTTTTACAGTCAGTCAACACTTGCTTAATGCTTGGTTTTACACTTACCTCTTCTCTTATCTCTTCCTCTGTTAATATCATCCTGGGTCCTTTCTTTTGCCGTTACGCCCACTCTTCCTCTCTCTAACTCCGCGCCTCTCATCTCTTGACGTCTCTCTCTTTTTCTTCCTAACCTTTTTACCCTCTCCTGTTGCGCTTTCCATTCCCTTTCTCTTTTTCTTATGCCCTTAATGTTTTTATTTTGCCGTATTGTTTCGGCTAGTATTTCTACACAGAGAATAAAGAGATACGGAGAGAGAGGGCCTCTTAAGAGCCCGTTTGTGATTCTTTTGAATGGTGTGTTCTGTTGCTTCAAGGACATCCACCATCTTAGATTTGTATTCTTCACTCAAGTTGAAGAGGTATTTCGTGATGCTCTCTACCTGGAATTCTGCCTCTGAATCCACTGATTGAAGTGGGATATTGTTGTGACTGTGAGAAGGTGGAGAATGTGAATTTCCTTGCACTATCTTCTTAACAGCTGCTGACAGCTGCTGACAGCTGCTTAGCTGAAACACCCAATGAGGACAATAATATGGTCTCAGAAGAAATTTGCAGGATGGCCTCTGTTATCTCTTCTAATCTAGATTTATCCATGGAAGTGCTTTCCCCATGTCTCTCAAGTTACCTCACTTCTTAAAGCAAGAAGTCACAAGACTAAACAACAAGTGTAGAAACTTAGACATACTTAGGCTAAAACTCTGATTTAAAAATAAAAAAATGACCCCCCTGCAAAAAAAAAAATTGTACTACTGTCTTTGATACCATCCTGTCACTCTCCTATTTTTTTTTACCTTTTTTTACTTCTACTTTGTAAACACATATAATGCTTCTTCTCAGTGGGAAGTGTCTTCAAGAAAACCCAAATAACGAAACAGTATTGGCAAGAAAGATAGCCAAATGAACAGTGGTATCGAATTAGAGCTTGGAGCAATTAAACGACATGAATGGCTGCTACACCCCATTCTTTTTTCCCAGGTCTACATGAACTAGATTTTGAGCACAGAATGCAATACCTCACCAAACATCTGCTATGATGACTCACTTAAAAGTGTGCATGATTATCACCTCTTGCTGAGATAGCACACTTCACTTCAATGTTTTTATTACTACACATATGGAGGCTTTGGTAAGATTGTGGAAAGGAGGGACAACATTTGAGCAGCTGGGAGGGACCAAAATGACAGTGTCACAGCCATTTATTCCCACTTGGATGGCAAAGTCTGGGGAACCTTCCCCTGGAAATTTAAAAGTTCAGATGTCCAAAAGGGTCCATTTTAGGCCACTATTTCCCAAGTTGGCTAAAAATTATAGCTACTACAAGGGTGAATATTGACA